AGTAGTAGTAGTAGTAGTAGTAGTAGAAGTAGTAGTAGTAGTAGTAGTAGTAACCAGCAAAGTCAAACAGCGCGCCTATGTGTCCTAAAGTCAAACGCACCTGATCAAAATCCTCAGCTGATGGAATGGCGGCATAATCCAAAAACATTGAGGTGTGGCACATGAGGGCCACCTCCGTCGAGCATTTTGAGGTTTCTACTGAAGCTTACCAAGCCCATCGGGGGTAACCCAACGAGGGGAAGAGGAGACGAGGATCCAGGTTAAGTGTGAATCAGGATATGCTACAAAATGTCACCTCGGATCTAATAAGGGTGCGGCTACCGACACCAGCGTGACAAAAACTACCCAAACAGACAAGAGTAAGAGAAACCAGTGAGTGCGAAGGAGACAGGCGGTTCAGGGTAGCCAACTAATGTTAACGAAGACGAGGACGATGAAGCCCTCTAGGTAAGATGTGGAGATGCCAGTGATAGGCTTCAAGCCTTTCTCCCTTTTTTTTAATGGTTCCCATGGCCCAGGATGTGGGCACCCTAGAAAACAACCGCACGTTTAGATGCTGCAAAATGTTGTCTCCAGCGAAAGCTGACTCGTCTTTTTGAGTACTCTTGCCTGTTCGTTTACACGGAGATACCTAAGGCATCTGTTCAAATTCTGACGCAGGGTGGCTTTTTTCGTTGAAGGAAATGTGTACGAGCAAATCAAAGGTATTTCGATGTGATCACTGTTATCCGGTTTCATTTTTGAGCCTTTTCTTCAATAGCTAGAGGCATTGGCATTTGCAACCCGTAAAGCGATAATTTTGTATGGTAGCGGGCAATACTTTCGTCGTGTGCAATTTGGAAATCAGCTTCACATTTCAAGCGCTGCTGAACTCCGTTTTGCATGACATGTGGTTTACAGCGGAGGCAAAGGATAACAATCAAATATTGTTTCTAAACGTCCTACTTTGCCACAAGATTAACAGGTAACAGGAGACATCTATCCATAGGAAGCTTACCTGTCTGGCAAAACCACAGCAAAATAGGATGTTTATGATTATCCTATTGTGGGTGTACCAAATCTTACTGAAGTTAAACTTTTCGTCTTTGGAGACCCCTCTAGTTGCCATTACCATTTCCAACAAGCTAACTCTGAAAATGAAAAGAAACACAACTTAACTATCTGCACTTCAAGCGTCTAAATTCTTTGGGAGACCCACGGCAAATTAGGAGAACAAGAAACACTTGACATCCTAACTTTCTTTATCAATGCGACAATAAAGGCCAGACTAAAATACATCAAATGAGATTTCGCAAGCCGAAAGCTGAGACCGCTCTCAAAAAAGATTCATCGTAACCGCATGGAGTAGGAAAACGGCGAAAACAGAAGGATCACTGATTCCACATATAAGGAACCCCCTCACTCAAATGTCGTGACCCCGTTCACATGATGGTGTATCAGATTTTTGGAATTTCAAGTAATTCGCTAAAAAAAATCAAGAAAAATATAGTTCAAGACTTGCCTCGACTACAATGTCACGCATGCGCTCGAATTCTTCGGGATGAAGAAAAGCGGCAAACTCATCTCTGTCTAATTTGCCATCACCATTTAGATCGGCTCTATTAAAACGTTTTTGATCACGTTCAATAGCTTTCAAAAGGTCCGGTGCTGAAAATAAATAAATCAGTTTAATTGCCATAATTAGTATGCAAAATATATTCAGTGGTAATAGAAACAGGGTTGCCTGAAAACCGAAACTCAAAATATTTAACTAGGAAAGTAAAAGATAAAACTGTAAACTCTAAAAACGAAGTAGTACTCTTGGAAAATCCGCCGGAAACCTTGATGGTCGTGTTATACAGTAGGAATAACATTCATGAAATGATGAAATCATGTAATTTTCAAGCAGTTAGTTTAGTGTAACTGCTTGAATGCCTCTTTCTAAACATCAAGCCTGGCTTCTCCAAAATGAGAGACTTAAACGTTATTTAGGCACGACGTCAAATATATTGGCTGTTAAGTCTAACGAACATATGATGTAGATCCGGCGTGTAAAAGTAAAATACATCAGACCACCGCATGATTAAATGATCATTAGTCGTTACATAAAGTCTCCTTAATAGGTGCGCCAAACTACAGTATTTCCAAGACTAACTGTGATTCAAAAAGAAGTTTTAAAAAGGCTGTAAAGTTTCAAATGAAGAAATTATGATGACATACGAAATTATTTTTTTATTCGCGTATATTCCTTTAGACTTAGCGAATACCTGTACTGCAGAACTCTTGCAGCCGATGTACAAACTTTTTCTTTACCGAGAAATAATATTGACAACTAAAAGGCGCCCCTATGAGGTCATCGATATCTGGATATTCGGTAGAGGCTGTAATGCAGAAATTAGAAGCTACAGGTCTTGCCACAGCTAATTGGAGATTGTGGCTGCGCTACATGGACAATACATTTGTTGTAAAAACAGATCAATAAGAATTACTCCATGAAAACCTCAATACCCCATTTCCAGGAATTAAATTTATCTTCGAAACAGAAATTAATAAACAACTTCCATTTTAGATGTACACGGGAAGACCAATGAAAAGTTGCATGCGTCCTGTCCAGCTAGGAAGGGCCACAAGGGCTGCAAGAAATCCATTTATACGAGAC